ATAGACAAGCACTTTACCACTTAGTTGTAACCCCTGCCCCTTAAAGTATTTGGAAATATTTTATGGGCACATGATCTGGGGCACAGTGTGATGCTTTGATGCATGTGCACTGTGTGTAATGGTGAGATCGGGGATTATTGACATAAATATCACTCCAAATAACTCTTCATTTATTTTATTGTATTTTATTTTATTTTATTTTATTTTTTCATATGTGTGGTTGATTTTCTGTGCACCACATATGTAGAGTGCCCTCAGAGGCCAGAAAGATTGGATCTCCTGTAACTGGAGTAACCATCTGCAAAAACAGATGGTTTTGCACAGCCATGCAGGTACTGAGAATCAAACGGAAATCCTCTAGAAGAACAGCCAGTGCTCTTAATAGCTGAGCCATGTCTCCAGCCCTACCTCAAACAATTCTCATTTCTTTGTATGGATAACATTCAAGATCTACTTCACTAGCTATTTTGAAGCATTCAACTAATTGTTGTTAACCAGAATTAACCTATGATGACATAGAACATTAGAAGTTATGCCTTATCCAATTATGCCAACATACCCATTAACCATTGGCTCACCATTACCCACATTCCATTTTCCTTCCTGGGTTCTGGTAATCATTATTCTATTCTCTGATTTTATGAAACATTAATTCTTACTGTCCAATAGAGGAGAAAGAGCCAAAGAAAAAAAGAGTTCAAAAGATAAGGTGAAAAACCAGGAGAGTGTTGTGTCAGAAGCCAAGAGGGGTGTTTCATGGGGACAATTATTGAGGGTATTGAAAGCTATATGGAGGTAAAAGAAGCTAAGGCCTGAAAAGTAGTCATTGGAGTTGGTGACGTGAAATCTATGATGATAAGTATGTCTTGGTCAGGTAGCTATCTCTCGAATCTTTCCTCTGCCACAGACTCCTAAGTCTTCCCAGAGTCTCACCTCCTTAGTTGATGTTGCTTCTCCTTCTAGATTCCTTTGTTAATTTTGTTTCCTTCTCATTATTCTGTTTATTACTATTGTTTGAGACATGATCTCATTCTGTAGTCCACGTTAGTTTGAAACTCACCATGTACTTCATATTAGCCTTTAATCCACAGTAATCCTGTTTCATCCTCTATCTGTATAAGGATAACAGGCACACACCATGGCCCAGCTTTATGCCATGCTATATACTGAACCTAGGGATTCCTGCATGTTGGGAGAACATTTTACCTATTAAGCTACTCCCCAACTCTAGACTTCTCTTTCCATTGTACCATCTCTTTCCTCTTCTTCAAGACTTTGCTTTATCTAGACCACTTACATTTTTTTCCTCAAACACTGCTCTCACCTATCTTCTCCTAATTACTGCTCAGACCTTTTATTCTCCTCCCTTTGTTCTTATACTATTCACTCTTCTCCTTAACCAGATACTGCCCTTCCCCAGTCTGCTATTCTGCCCTCTTCATATTCTTTTCCATCCTCTACATAGGTAGGTTGGGTGGATCTCAGCAGGGGATCTTGGTGAAAGAACTGCTCAGACCTCTCCCAATCTCAAAACCCAGGACTTATACACTTTGGCATGGTGCCACTAGCATCTGTCAGTGCCAACCTATATGAGGCATTGTTAGAACTTAGTCCTTGAAAGGTTGCCAACATGGTAACCATTCGGCCTCATCTGTTCTGGCTCTTGTCCCTAAGATTCTGCCTTTTCCTACCCTCAATTGCACAGTGTCACTGAGAGCTGATAAGCTGCCCCACCCTCACTCCAAGTCAAACATCTTGCCTTCAGCCAGCATTATCTAAGTGTCAAAACACTTTCAGAGTCATTAGTCCAGGCTTGAAGAGTCAGCTGTGGGGAGCCTGGAAAAAAAGAGAATGGAAAGATTTGCTCAAGGTCACAGAGCTGGTTAGAGGATTAACATGTTATCCTTCTTGCCCCTGAAGACTTACTTGCTTTCATGCTGAGTCCCGAGGCCTGAGTTCAGGCCTCAGTGAACTTAGCTTTTCCCAGCCTACCAAGGTGGGGACAATCCTGAAAAGTCTCCCTGTAAGGGGTTCAGTGACCCATTCATACCTGTAAGGCAGGGATGAGCCATCTTGGGAAGGAGGATGAATTCTGATTTGCTTCACTGAATTCTCCCTAGGCAACAAATCTGTTTGCTTTGATATAACTTGAAAAAAATACCTAAAGTACGGAGATTCAGAGTCCAAGGACAGAGTTGGCCAGGTTTAGCACACTGCTCTGTTTCAGTTCAGTGACACCATGCATGGGAAAAACCTCAGCACCAGGCCCAGCATCACCAATGCATAGAGGCCCCATCTGAGCATTTCTACTCAAGATTCTTTGGGAGTCACAGCATCTTTATCTGAAAATGTACTCAACTAGACAGCTAGATGACAGGTCTAAATCACCTTGAGTTGCTAGGTAATTTGTTCTTTCACTTTATTGGGCTTAAGTTTCTTCACTGGAAACAGTGGCAGCCATCTTATTCTTGTAATTTATTGTATTGGCCTGTACGGGTAAATAATATGTAATCAATCAATTCTAGGCCTAAGAATTTGGTCAGGGTTATGTGGAATAATGAGGTTTTTTTTTTCTTTTTAGTAGTACAAAATGGGATATGATAAAATGTCTGTTTATGGTTAGCGAAATCATATTTACATGATGAAATGCAATGAAGGTACTCTGTTTTTTAATTGACATGGGATCAGCTCCATGATACATGCTTTTGAAATGATAGGTTATAAAACTATAGCTATAGTGTGATTCAATTTTGTAAAATGTATTTTCTTTGATGCTTTCAAAATTTAGTAGTGATTATTGCTGGCCAGTAGTGTTATGGGAACCTTCATTTTCTTTCCTTTTTATTTTAATTTTATTTTCTGAATTCATTTCAACAGAATCAGACATGGTGATTCCTCTGTGTAAATTATGTACTTTGGAGCCAAAAGGATTGCTACAAGTTTTAGGCTGGGCATTGGATATATTTGAGGCTAGCCTGGACTATATAGAGAGATTGTCACATTTTTTTTTTCTTTTAAGCAAAAGTTTTTGTTTCACTTGGTGAGGAACCGAAATCATTATAATCTACAGAACTCTTGAGGGGGCTTAAATGGCAAAGTATATAGTACTTCTGTTATGCCAGATTCATGAGACCACAAAAGACCACCAGGAATCGAGTCTGTTGCAAAACTCATGATGATTTTTTTATTAAAAGCTAGCTTGGGCTCATACCCTCACAGCCAGAGCAGTGGAGAGCAGAGCACCTAGTTCTCAGGTTAGATGGGTGATTTAAAGAGTCTGGTCCCTCCCAGCAAGCCCAAAGCAGGAGGATTCCTGCCTGGCAAGCATCTATTGGTTGAAACACAAAAGTGATGTTGCATTTTTAATTGATTGGCTGTCAGAAGGCCTCCAAACCATTAATGGTCTGGCTTCCCTTGTTTGGCTGTCCTAGGGGAGAGGGCTGGTTTCCTAGCAACTATATCTTTAGTGGGCAAGAAAAGAAAGCAGTAGAGCTGGTTCTTCCCTGCAGGTGGCTAGACATGTCTCCACCTGGCTGGCCTTCATTCAGACTTGTGCTTTAAACTTTAAACCAATACCCAAAATTATTTTGTCTCTCACTGCTATGTTTGGTTAGGGAAAAGAGGCCTATTATTACAGTAGCCTCCTCAGTCTCACTGAGAAAGACCTGCTTTGAACCTAAAAAGATGTAATCTGTAATCTCTCTTGGTAGGAAGATATTCTTTTTGTAGGAGGGATAGAGGGAATGAGGAAGAAAGGAAGGAAGAAAGAAAGGAGGGAGAGATGGGAGAGAGGGTGAGGCTAGGTCTCATTTAGCTCAACTGGTCTCAAACTTGCTTTGAACTTCTGAAGCCCCTGCCTCCACCTTCTATGTGCTGGGGTTACAGGCATGGGTTACCACACCCAGTTTTATGGGTGCTAGGAATCAAACCAAGCTCTCTACCAGCTGAGCTACATTACCTAGCCCAGAGAGAATATATTTCAAAGAGAAATACTGCTCTTTCTCCTTTTGGCTATCAGAAATGATCAACCAGAAATAATTAAAATTTCCCCAGACGTCCCACGCTGGGAGAAGGGCAAAACTGAAGTCTGGTGGGTGAAAAGGGCAGAAGCCTTTATGAGGCAGAGGAGGAACTTGCTTCCCAGGAAGAGATTTCACATGAGTTGCCAGACAGAGACAACAGATAGTCAATGATAGACAAGACTGCACCTTGACCAGGCTTGCTCAATCATGCATATCTTCTACAGAAACCTAATCCTCATGTCAACACCCTGAAGATGCACTTGCAGGTTCCCTGAGTCCCTTTATTTCTTCCTCTTCCCAAAGTGGCCATATTAAATAACATCTCCTTTCTCTGCTTTTGGCTTCAATTCGTGTATTAGAGACAACAGTTAAGCCTAGTTTGTTGGGTCTGCCAGAGGCAAGGTTTTCACCCTAAAAATTCTGAGAACAATCCTAGGGTAAAACATGTTCTCCCGGGAAGTTGGCCTTAGAGGTGGAGTAGGGCTGGGGACTTTACCAAAGAACCACAGTGAGTTAAAGAGTTCCTGGAGGCCAGGCAGCACAGAACTCCAGTGCCAGGCCACTTTAGGCCCTAGTTCACCCAGGCTGTGTTTATGAAGGCTTACTTCCTGCTGAGCCTTGAGGCTGCAAGCCAGGGACACCTATTGGGCATAACAGAACACCCTTCTCTCCCCTCCCCCCAAAGCAGGAATGTTCTAAATTCCTCCTTGGCCCCAATCCCCCTCCCCACAAGGTTTCCCCTGGGCTCACAGAGGTTCACCACACAAAAGCCCAGCTGGAGTTTTTGAAAGGGTAAACATAAAACCCACCAAACATTTTTTAAGAGTACCTCAATCTTTTCCAGCCTCCAGGGGTTTAATTCTCATCTGTAAGAAGGCTCGGATTTACAGGTGGATTTTACAAAGCTGTGGCTAATAATTAGATATCCCTTATCATCATAGCCTGTGGCCCCTTGGACCCAGATTGTCTTTCCCAGGACCTAGGCTCCCAAGGAGCATCTGGGAGCTCTTCAAAAGAACAGCATCGTGAGTACCTGCTCTGTAAGTACCCTGGTGCAGTTGCTACCCTTCAGGCTCACAGAGGTGGGTAGTTTTTCAACCTAGCTTCAGTTACTGGAGCCCATGATGGAGTCAGGGTGGGCTGCCTTGTGATGCTGAACGAAGGGGATGGAAGTGGGCACAAGGCTCTATGTGTTTTCTTCAAGCTGTGCCAAGGTTTGCTGTCTTTTAAGGTGGAGGACGAGAAGGTCCGGTCTTCGGAGCAGGTTATTTAAAATGAAAGAACTAGGGAGAATACGGGGAGGTAAGGAGGTTGAGCTTTCCCTCTTGCCCGACCAGAGGGGTCTAAGCAGGAAGCCCCAAAGCACATCTAGGCATGAGAGTTCAGGGGACATGGGGCTCTCCTTTTAAACCCCTCAATCACTCTTCGCAAATGTCCCGCCTCAGACACTCTTCTTTTCAAGTGTTCTTAAAATTGGAATCAGAGCTAAAAAACGTTCACAGCAGCCAAGTTTCCTTTGTTTCATAAATCCTGCCTCTGTGTTTCCCAGTGCGTTAAACTATGCTTGCTTTTTCTTTGGTGATCACGACAAAAATAAGCTTCTCTTTAAAGACAATTATAAAATCTCTCACTCTAGATGCAGTTAATTCCTCAGCTGTCATCTATCAACTGGTGCAGAAAGGTAGATTGCAAAGAGATGGCTTTGACACCTACTCGAGCCCTTGGGACTTGGGAGTAGGGTACAGGGTTGAGAGTAGCTATCTCAGATTCCTCCAAAGAACTGTAAAATCAAGGGATGGAGAAATGAAGATGACCAGCAAACAGGCTCGAATGGCTTTCGTTCATAACAGAAGGCTATATCAGGTCTTTTTGTTTTTTGTTTTTTGTTTTTAGAGACAGGGTTTCTCTGTCTAACAGCCCTGGCTGTCCTGGCCTTGCTTTGTAGACCAGGCTGGCTTCAAACTCACAAAGATCCACTTGCCTTTGCCTCTGCCTCATTAAGGGCTGGGATTAAAGGTGTTAGCCACCATGCCCAGCCATAAGGTCTTTTCTTGAACCACAGACTCCTAATGGTTCTGTCACATTCATGCTTCTAGGTCAATAGAGCTATGCCAGGCACCATAGAAGCAGAGACTATCAAGGCGACTGGCCTGGTGAGAAGGAGTTAAGTCAGGAGCTGCTGTCAGTCTTGACCCTCTTAATCCTCTCCTGCAGTTCCAATCCTTCCACTAAGGAAGATTAGGTAAGGATCCAGGGGGAAACTTTCTTTGCCAGCTTTTAGCTATGGAGGATATTGGCTTCACTCCCAGCAGACAAATTCACCTCGGAAGGCCTAGAGTGTTTGTACCCCTAAATTATCTTAGGAGACTTTTAGAAGAACCTCTGAAAGAAAGGTTTCTTTAAAGCCCTCTGCTTCAAATAGCAGTTTACCAGTCTTCTGAATTCTTCTAGATGGTTGCCTGTCTCCACTACCTGATTCTAGATGAAGAAAAGCTTATTGATGAATAAAGTCAGAAATAAAGAACTGGGGGTGGGGCTTCTTCAAAGGTTCTAGACACAATTGAGACCAGAAACTAGAGCTTTGACACCCCTCCAGAACCCTTTTTCTTCACGGTGTCTGCCACTGCTCATCAAAGATGAATCCAGACTGGCTTACCTCACCACCCAGTCACTTGCTAGTTTGTCAACTTTGTCTTCCTGACCCCTGGGGGAGAATTAACTCCCAGGGAGCCACTTCTCCCATTTGAATAAACTCTGAGAGTGTCCCTACCTACTGCTGAGCTATGGCAACTCCCTTTCTGAAGATTCCAACTTTCAGTAAGGGCCTTTTCTTAACTGAGCTCCCAGATACTTCCCTCTCATGACTAAAAGTCAAGCCTGTCTCTCAAGATAGGTTTTTCTTCCGGAGAACCTTTGATTCCTTTGGGGAAACTGAGGGTTGCTGTTTTGTTTTAGTTTGCTTGGTTGTTTTTATTTTATTTTATTTTATTTTATTTTTGAGACAGAGTCTGTGTAGCCCAAGCTAGCCTCTAACTCACTACACTTTGGTTTCTACCTCCTGAGTGCTAGGATTTCAGGTATGTGTGCCACCATGCCTGGCTCAAGCTTCATTCTTTTGCCATCCCCAAAAAGCTGAGACCCAAGCTGTTTCTCTGAGAGCCAGGAGTTCTTTCCTAACAAATTCTTTTAGGTTGTGCTCCATTTTTTCTGAGTGTTTGAAGGGGAGGTATTTAAGTCACCCTCAGCAAGGAGTGTAGGAAAGTCCAAGGACAGTTCTCAGAAATGGATGATTATAACACTAAAGGATGACCAGCAAGTCTCCAGAAAAAAGGTAGCTGGCAAGGCAGGTGTAGAGAACTGCAACTACTCGGATACAGATGAACTCAAGTGCACATGTGTGGGTGGGGGTAGGGGTGGGGGTGGGGGAGCAGTCAGTCTAGAGGCATAAGGCATGAAATGGGAGGTTAATGGTTAGAGATAAAACTCAGAAGCAGAGTAGGAGGTCAGACAATAGAGAGCTTTGCCTGCTTTGGGCTGAACCTCTCGTCTTGAAAGGAATCAAAAGCTCCTAAGGTCTTTTAAGCATGGCAAAGTGTAGCATGACAGTTATGATTGCATTTATACTTTATAAACATCCCCCATGACTATCGTGATGATTGATTGCAAGGGCAGGGCTGGAGTGGAATTAGAGCGACAAATCTGAGGGACCTAGGTGATTTCCAAAGGACAAGAGATATTGATTGTGTGGTCTATAAAAGGCTAGGTAGTGGAGATGGAGCAAAAGAAATCTGTGTTTTATTTTGAAGGTATATTTGGCAAGACTTCATTATGATTATGAGTCAAGAAAATGTGAGAAAGCCAGTTGTAGTTGCTCATTCCTATAATTCTAGCATTCAGAGGCTGAAATGGAAGAGTGTCCACAAAATCAAAGTCAGCCTGGGGCATATAGCAAGACCTTATCACAAGATGAAGAAGAAATAAAGAAAATAGAAATGCTGAAGAATCCAGGCATACTGGTTGCATTACTGGCTGGCTAGTTATACTCACTTGTAGGATAGAGCATGCTGTGTGAGGAATAGTTTGAGGATGGGAAAAGAAGAGAGTAAGAGAATTCAGTTTTGTATATGTCAAGTTTGAGGTGCAATTAATACATTAATACAGTCATGGGTGGTCATTCCAAATTCAGTCGACTATACAAATCTTGAATTCAAAAGCGAGATTGGTTTTGGTATGGATTTAACATAACAGAGGTATAGATTTGACAACCATTGTCAAGCTAAAGCAAGAAGATTACTGGCAGTTTAAAGCTACCCTGGGATACATAGTAAGTACCAAGCCACAGCTAATTTTTTTTTCTTTTACTTTTCTAATTAATTCAATTTACATCTTGGTCAGAGGCCCCTTCCTCCTCTCCTCTCAGTCCCATCCTCCCTCTCACACCCTCCCTTCCTTATTCCTCAGAATAAGGGAGCCCTCTTACTCAGACACCCCAGCTCATCTATTCACATGAAGACTGAGTCAGGGGGAAGTGATCAAAAAGCAGGCAACATAGTCCATGTCAGAGATATCCCCCACTCCCATCACTAGTGAGCCCACATGAAGCCTAAAAGGCTGCCTAGATCCAGACCATGCATTGTCCTTGGTTGGTGGGCCCTGGTTGATTGGCTCTGTTGGTCATCTCTAGGTCCGTTTATCCTTCCACCCTCTTTTCTTGTAGACTCCCTATACGCTCCCCAATGTTTGGCTGTGAGTCTCAGTATGTTTTGAGGCGTTGCTGGATGGAGCATCTAAGAGGACAACTCTGGTAGGCAATACCAGAGTACCATTAATAGTGATAGGGGTTGGATTTCTTCCATGGGGAGGGTCTTAGGGTTGGATCCGACATTGGCTGGACATTCCTTAAATCTCTGCTTTATCTGTTCCATCTTTGTCTCTGCAGGTCTTATAGGTAGGGTAAGTTTTGGAAGGAGTTTTTGTGGATGGGTCGGTGATCTCCTCCATCCACTAGGAGCCTTGTCTAGATAAGGGGTGCCTCTTCAGTCTGCATGGCCTCTGCTGCTAGGAGACTTAGCTAGAGTTTCCTTCATATATTGTCACAGAGATGCCCCCACCCACCATTTCTCTTTTCTCTGCAGGCCTCCTGCCCTCTTTAAAAAGAGAGAGAGAGGAATGATAATATTGGAAGTGGCACTATAGAAAATAATGGAGAAGTCAGTTTTCTCAGGGGAGGGGCAAGGTAAGCTGACAGATATAAGAATATGAGATGTTAGAATAAGAAAAATGATTAACTTTGGTGAGAGCATTCTCAGTGGACTGCAAATGGCAGAAGTAGGTAGGGCTGCAGCAAGCAGAGAATTGTGTGCAAAGGTCAAATAGTGCTATTGATATTAAATGGGTTAAGGAAGTTTGCTGAAAAAGGAAAGGTCAAGACTGACAGTAACAGCTACACAGAGAGGAGGTATGGGGGAAGGGAGCTTTTAAAAGTGTGGGAAACATGTGAAGTATTTGACAGAAGGGTACTTACTATAGAGAAGTAGGATTGCCAAACAGCACTGAAGATTTTGCCTAGATGTGCATTTGAGACCTGGAGAGGCACAATTGTGACCAGACTAGCAGAAGAAAGCCAGTGACAGGAAAGGCCTTGCCCCTTGTCATAGCTGGTAATGGCAAAAGTTGGTAAATGGGCATTGGCACCTGCTCTGCATTGCCTTGTGTAGAAACCGCCATCATAGCAGTGCTGATGACCAGTGCTATCAACCCTGTGTCTTACACTGTGGAAACACAAGTTTAGAGTGTTTTTCACCTTCAACTAAGTAGGCAAGATTTTCAACCAATGGAGTTGAAAGGGAACGAAAGAAAGGGAGAGAAAGGGAACAAGAGGGAAAGAAAAGGAGAGCAGGAGGGCAAAGGAAAGAAGGAAACAGAGGAGCAACTGTTTAGTTCTTCATCTTGTATTCCTCTAGTTAGTCCTTCTTCTGATCTCCTTCATTCTCTGCATGGATAACATTGTGGTAACCCTTTCTCTGCAATGTTCACTGACTCAGAGCCTCATGGGCCCTTTCAACCCTGTTCACTGCTTTTATTGTTGCATTAAGAAGATGTATTTGAAGCTGAGTGAGCTGATGCATGCTTGTAATTCCAGCATTTAGAAGAACAAGGAAGGAGTTCAAGGACAGCCTGCATCACATAGCAAGTACCAGACCAGCCAGTGCTACATAGAAAGAAAGACTCTGTCTCCAAGTTTTTAAACAAAAGGTAGCTTGATTATTTTGGGGTAAGGCACCAAATAAAGCACACAAGATGCAGACATAAATAAGAAACCAATGCTGCCCTCAAGTAGCTCATGTACCAGCACAGAAAAAAATGAGTTTAAATAGAAAATTACAACATAACACAAGTATGTCATGCCCTTAGTTTCTTCATCTATTATATAGTAGAGATTATTAGTATATTTATCACAAAATAGTTGATAATTGAATGAATTAACACATATAAAGTGCTTATAATAGTCATAGAGGAAACACAGTTTAGTCTGGTATAATGCTTCTTGCCTGTATTCCTAACACTTGGATGGCTGAGTCAAGAAGACCATGAGTTTGAGGCTAGTTTGTGCTACACAGTGAGTTCCAGAAAGGGCTGGCTTACATAGTAAAATGCTGCCTCTAAACAAAAATGAAAAAAGAAAACAACAAAAAGAAGAAAAAAGTAGTATGTATGTTGCTGTTATTGTTGTTGTTATGATGATAATGGGAGTAAACGAATATGAGGTACTATAAGAATACAGAAGTGTCCTGGAGCAATTAATCAGTCATTAACAACACCGAGTGCTCTTCTAGAGGACCCAGGTTCAAATCTCCACACTGACATGGTGGCTCACACCATCTGTAACTCCAGTTACAGGGAATTCAATGCCCTCCTCTGGTACCCAAAGGCCCTGCACATATGGGCACACAGACATCCCCTCAGGCAAGACATTCACACATCTAAAAATAAAAATGAAAAAAAAATCTTTAGAAAAAAATTAGAAGAGGGACACTGGACCATGTCTAGAATGAGAGTTATCCTAGTAAGTTAAGGCATTCCTTAACAGTGCAGCCTGTGCTCAAATGTGAGAGTGAAACAACACATGACATTATTGAAGAGCTGCTAATAATTTAGTTCAGCCAGAGTATGGAGTAGAGCAGGTGAGTTGCAAGAGGTGAATCTGGGGAGGTCATGGAATGCAAACAAGTTTGGACTTTAAAATTTGACCAATGGTGAGCCATTGGAATGTCTTAGAGAAGGAACTTGCTGTGAAAGCATGAAAACCTGAGATCAGATCTGCAAGAACAATGTGAAAACAGAAAGCTGGGTGTGGAGGTGTGTGCACTTAGTGTGGGAGGGGAGGAGGAAGCAGATCACAGGACTTCACTTGTTAGCCAAAACAACAAGTTCTAGGTTCAGTGAGAAACCATTTCAAAAAGATATAAATAAAAAGGTGGAGGATGACATAGTTCAGCAAGCAAAGGCGTGTGCTGCCAAGTCTAACCCACCTGCATTTGATCCCCAGAACTCACATGGGGATCCTCTGACCTCCACATGCACACACATGCCGACACAGATACATGATAAAATAAAAAGCATTCAAAAACTCAAAATATAAAATAGAGAAAAATCTAGGGAGATACATGAAGTCAGTGCCTGGTCTCCACAGGCTGTTGCATCAAGTGCCCCTTCCCCCTCCAGTGAACATTGACACACACACACACACACACACACACACACACACATAGGCACGTGTAGACACACATTTTAAAAATGACTTCATTAGATTAGTGTGTTGAAAGATCTTCATGGCAACAATATGAAGACTGGATCGGAAGAGGAAAGACTAAGAGATATAAATAAAGGCCAGTTAATAAACTATTGTTTACCCAGGCAAGAAAGAAAGAATGGTGAATCCCTGCATTAAAAAGTAGTAGTAGAAATGAGAAGTGAGAGTTATGCATTTTGAATAATTTCAGTAGCTAGAACTAGTATAACTTTGTAGTTTTAAGATGCAGGGGTAAACAGGCACAGAGTGTCAAGGGTCACTACTGGGATATTGGTCTGGATGGAGACAATGTGGGACCCAGGCAAGAAGTGACCGGGAGGTCCAGAGGGAGAAGTACTGTGTTCTTTTGACTATGTCAAACTTGAAATTGCCATGAGATTTTTCATGCTCCCACCGAGCTAAATCCCAATCTGCTCTTCAAAGAGCTTTTTATTAGATGATTCCTTTGTCTTTGTTGGCTCCTTCTGAAAATTGAGATTTGGAAAGGAAAAAGATTAGGTAACAGGGTAGGTGTGCTTGTTCATCTCTAGAGTTTTAGTTCAGAGGGAATGGATTCTTGAGCAACGGGAAAAAGACATTTTAAAATATTTGTTTGTTTTATTTTATGAGTATGAGTGTTTTGCCTGTATGGTGCAGGTGCCCACAGAGGTCAGAAGAGGAAAACCACATCACCTGGAACTGGAATTACTGATGCTTGTGAGCCCCAGATAGAGGCTGGGAATTGAAGCTGGGCTCTCTAGAAGACCACTCAGTGCTTGTAACTGTTGAGCTGTCTCTCTAGCCCCCAAAAGAAATTTTGAGGGAAGTGAAGATGGGGTAGGAATGTTGTATTGGGTTAAAAATTAGTGGGCTGAATAGTCTTTCAGAACATGGGATGAGGTATGTAACTTCGACCTTTGTGTCTTGAGCCATGGAAAGAGTGAGAAATCTCTGAACGCAGCAAAATCCCGTTTATCACTGAATGCCTGCCTACCTCTCATAAAGCCCTCTAGTTCTGGAGCAGCTTCCTTTCCTTCCACCTTTTGTACCATCTCTGACAGCCAGGGACCCTGAGGACTCCTAAGACCTGGAATAGCTTTTCTCCAGAGTCCTCTCATGTCATTTGAGAGGCTGGCCATGGGATCACCTGTTAGGAGAGGAGCCAGGAAATACCTGTGTGTTATACCTTTAGGGGCCTTTATGCTACCTTGCAGGGAGGGATCTGGCCAAAGCTAGAAAGAAAGTTCTGATCTCCCAGAGTACGAGCCTTTGTTACCCACCCCAATGTGCCCTGGAAGTACATTATTGCCATAGGCAAAGTGATTCAGGGCTGTGCCACCACTGTTTAGTCCCTTTGAAGATTCAAGTAACTTCTGTCAAACTGGAATCAAAGGGCACATTCTAAGACATGTCCCACATGATCCATTCTCCTGGAGTTTAGCCCCAGTCTGCAATTGAGGGGCCCTGTGGTGTAGTTGCTTGGCAATAGGGTAAACAGCAGGCCTTGGAGACTGACAGTGGAGTTAGAACACCACAACCGCTATTGCCACCACTACCTTCTCGGAAAGCAGCCACCTGTCCAGCCCCTGCCTTTGTCTGACTGCCAACCTAACTCCATGTGCCTACGCAGGAGGTGATGACATTTTGGCTCAGCTTCCAAAGGTTTTTTTTTTTTTCCTTTCTTTCTCATGTGTTATTTTTAAAGATAACAAAGGTCAAAAGGCATCCAGCATTTTCTGGTTTCTCATAAGCTTCTGGTCAATATTTAATCTGGTTTATGGTTTTTTTTTTTAAGGTTTTCTAGATGCCTTCTTGAGCTTGCTTGTGGCCACCCACAGTTATTTGTACGGGCGAACGAAGTCAGCTTGCCAGAGACACTGTGAAATGAGGGATTAGAGGCTGGGATCCAAGAAGCAAGAGCAGCAGCCAAAAGACAAGCAAACAGGCTCCGAAGATACTTCTACTGAGAGGTGTGCCATGGCCTCCCTCGGTGTCCAACTGGTGGGCTATATCCTAGGCCTTTTGGGGCTACTAGGCACTTCGATTGCCATGCTGCTTCCCAACTGGCGAACAAGTTCTTACGTTGGTGCCAGCATCGTGACGGCAGTTGGCTTTTCCAAGGGCCTCTGGATGGAGTGTGCTACACAAAGCACAGGCATCACCCAGTGTGATATCTATAGCACTCTTTTGGGACTTCCTGCTGACATCCAGGCTGCCCAGGCCATGATGGTGACATCCAGTGCAATGTCCTCACTGGCCTGTATTATCTCGGTGGTGGGCATGCGATGCACGGTGTTCTTCCAGGAATCTCGAGCTAAGGACAGAGTGGCTGTAGTGGGGGGAGTCTTCTTCATCCTCGGCGGTATCCTGGGTTTCATCCCAGTGGCTTGGAATCTTCATGGCATCCTTCGGGACTTCTACTCACCACTGGTTCCTGACAGCATGAAATTTGAAATTGGAGAAGCTCTTTACCTGGGCATTATTTCAGCCCTCTTCTCTTTGGTAGCTGGAGTCATCCTCTGCTTTTCCTGCTCCACTCAGGGAAATCGTCCCAGCTACTATGATTGCTACCAGGCACAGCCTCTTGCCACTAGGAGCTCTCCAAGGCCTGGTCAACAGGCCAAAGCCAAGAGTGAGTTCAACTCCTACAGCCTGACTGGGTATGTGTGAAGAAACAGGGGCCAGAGCTGGGGGTGGGGTGGGTGGTGGCTGGTACTATTAAAAAAAAGTAGTGGACAATGCCCCCAGGGTCACAGGCAAAGGACATTGCCCCTGAATCATGTGTAAGGTGCTGCTGAGGATAGACCGACTTTGGCCATTGGATGCAGAAAGTCAGAGATGGGAACTAGTGTGACAGCATGTTGCTCGAATTGCCAAGGATATTCAACAAGCCAGCTCTTCTTTTTCCCTCATCTTGCCTCACCAAGGCACCTCCTAAACTAAAACTCCAAGTCCCATCCCTGCCACTTTTGGCTATGCCCAGAGACACTCTTATGCCCACTGGTCTACCTGGAGCTCCTTCCCCAAGCCCACGTAATCATATCTGATCAGCTGGCCATCTGTGATCAAAAGACCCTCTTCCCCTGGCTGAGGTTGCCTCTGAACTCAATTGCTGGGGGACAGAGAGAAGAAAAAGAGGTGGCTCCTGTGGGCATGTCTCTAGCTCCCTTCTCAAACTTCCATCCAAAGAAATGAATTGGTCAGTAATAGGCCCTGAAGCCTCTCTCCCAGTGTTATTATGAATTCAGCAAATCCAGACTGGGTTGTGAATGAACTGAAGGAAAGTTATCTCATGGCATCCAGCAGAAAGTAACTAACTGGGTGCAGAATGGGAATCAACCTGGGACCCAAAACCCACAAGAATCACTTCTCAGGGCACTTTCTATTATTCCCACACATTTGTGGGTCAGGATGGAAGCAGAGCTCTAGGAAAAAACAAGGCGGCAGCCCTCTGACTCCACCAAGGAATTGCCAAGAACCTGCAATTAACAACTCCCACTGAAATGTCTGCTTCCTTCTGGGGCATCTGACCTGGTCTCCTGGATAAACCACAAGGCTTGGAGCCCTAGACAAGGGTTTTCTGAGGGACAATAGACCAGATTTTCCAGAACGGCCCTTCAACATAGAAGCTCCAGAAGACTACAAAAGACATTATTGCTACTTAGCCCTGACCAAGAACAAATAAGGACTTTAGTATCAAGGGACTGGCTAGACATGTATGGTGGCTGTTGTGTGTGCTCCGCTGTTCCAGCGAGGCACCTCTACCAGAAACTTTAGACTTAATGGACAAACAACCCCCTGGGGTCTATACTCAGCATTACAGAGCCTCCGAAAGACCATAGCACCAAACAGGGGTTTTCGTCACTTTTTAATACTTGCATCATCTCCCATCAGAAGCTATTCTAGAAGGTATGCAAAAGTCTCCAGTGTGGAACATCCATGGCCAAGGTGTTGTGTTTAGGACCTGAGTGACAGATGAACTGCTGCCTGGGATTGTGCTTGAGGTGGGAGAACAGAGAATGGTTCTCAGTCAAACAGTTTCACCTCCAAGATCTTAAAATGCTCCATTTCCTTTGTGGTAGGTGTGTGTGTGTGTGTGTGTGTGTGTGTGTGTGTGTGTGTGTGTGTGTG